AACCAACTCTGCCTGCCGGTCTGATCACCCCTAACTCTTCCTCAGCCTGCCTGATTGTCCATAAGTGCTTCCCTGGCAACCTGAGGCCTCTAACTGCTCTCCTGCTGGCCTGATCTCCTCTAATTGCCTCTGCCTCGGCCCCTGTACCCAGGACCCAGTCTTCCCTCCTCCAGCTGGAAGCAGGCACCTGGGACCCGGACTTCCCTCCCTCTAGCCAGCTGCAGTCATCCAGGACCAGGGTCGGCTTTGCCCCAGCTCTTTCCAGGCACCCAGGACACTGGGTGGCTTTGCTGGGGGCTGCCTTTGTCAGCAAAAATGTCCTGAAGGTCGTCCAAAATACATCTGGTCTAATTAGCATATTACCCTTTTATTAGTAGAGACTAGAGGCCCAGTGCACAAAAATTTGTGCACTCGGGGGGAGGGGAGGTCCCTCAGCCCCTGTGCCCTCTCACAGTCTGGGACCCCTCAGGGGATGACCACCTGCTGGCTTAGGCCCGCTCCCCAGGGGATTGGGCCTAACATGGAAATCAGACATCCCTCTGGCAGCCTGGGAGCCCTCAGGGGATGTCCACTTGCCAACAGGGAGCAGGCCTAAACTGTTGTCGGACATCCTTAGTGCTGCTGAGGAGGTAGGAGAGGGTCCCACCACCACCGCTGGACAGGCAGCCATCAGCCTGGCTTGTGGCTGAGCAGAGCTCCTCCCATGTGAGAGCGACCTGACCACCAGAGGGCAGCTCCTGCATTGAGAGTCTGCCCTTTGGTGGTCAGTGTGTGTCATTCTGACCATTCATTCCCAGTCTTTCTGCTGTTTGGGTCAGTTTTTATATTACCCTTTTACTATATAGGATAGAGGCCTGGTGCATAGTAGGGGACAGGCTGGTTTGCGTAGATGGGTGTCCTGGACCAGGGTGGGGTTCCTGCTTGGGTGCCTGGCCAGTCTGGGTGAGGGGCTGAGGGACGTTTTCAGGCTGGCGGGTGACTGAAGCTCCCAACCTCTCCTTTTTTCTTTTTCTTTTTTTTTATTCTGGGATTTATTTACCTTCTATAATTGAAACTTTGTTGCCTTCAGTGGAGCTCAGAGCTGGCTGGGAAGCTTGGCCTCCTCCATCACTGGAGCAACGCAGTTAATTTCCATATCGCCCTGATTATCCAATGGGAAGCATAGCAAAGTTATGGTTAATTACCATGTTTCTCTATTATCAGATAGGATAGTAATTGCTCTACTTCTTAATTCTTGTTTTAAAGATCCGTACATGTTGGTATACCCTATGGTTGAGATTCATTCAAACGCAAATACAAAGACATTAAGATCAGGGAAGGATTAATGGGATTATACTCTAAATTATTTGGAGAAGAATCAACGAATCGCCCTTGAAATGAATACATTAAATTTTTCTTTTAACGTTATAGTCAAGGATGCCTGTGTCTGTCATTGAATACTATTTGCCTTTTTAGGAGTGGGGAGAAGGCTGTGTGTTGAGCTTTATTGGATGCATTTCTCCCTGATATTAACACTTCTAAGCCCACATGATTCTTTGGATGACAGGCTGTGGACAGATGTCAAGTGTGGGGTGATGAGAAAGGGATATTTAAGGATTTAAGGGTGGGCTTACCAAGCTGTTTGACATCATTGGCCAAAATGCCAATTAGCTTGCCCTTGGTGCGGGCGGGGGAGGTCAGTCTTACATCAGAACTTCCATTAGAATTTGGTTGACCAGATGTCCAAAAATGAAAAGAATTTGCGACCTCAACCTCCATGAAACATTTCTGTCCCTGCATTGGGGATTTCAAAACAGCGTGTTGGGGACGGGACTTGTAGTCTTTACAAGAAACTAAGATATTTGCCTGATTCTGGGTATTTCTGTGCACTGTGCATCAGGTTGTGAATTTTGGGGAGGCAATTTGATTTTTTCCTTTTTCTCAAATATATTTTTATTCATTTAAGAGAGGAAGGGAGAGGGAGAGAATTAGAAACATCCAGGATGAGAGAATCATGTATCAGCTTACTCCTGGACGTCCCTCCCTGGGAATCAAGCCCACAACCTGGGCATGTGCCCTTGACCGGGAATCAAACCCAGGACACTTCAGGTCGAAGGCTGACACTCTATCTACTGAGCCAAACTGGCCAGGGCCAATTTGACTTTTTGAAAACCCTCACAGCCTTTCCTTCTCTCTGGGCATCTCTGACTCCTGTGGCTGCTCAGTGGGTGGATACCATGAGACATGCTATGTGGCCCACCAACCCCTGAAGTGAAGGGGACTCGCTGCTGGCCCTGAACCTGGACGCCAGTGTTCCTCCTGATCTTGCAGGCGAACCCACAAATCTCAGGACTTGTGCCAGAAGGGTTCAACTTTAGAACCAGGAGGACAAAGGCTAGGATGATGGACGCTCTACTGTCACCTGACCACTTACAAGATCCTAATCAGATTGACTGTGCCTGTAGGAACGTAGAGAACTTCTCAAGCCCCGCCCCCTGACCTCTTCACAGTGTTTGGCCTCTCCCTCCTTATAAAAGCCTCTGCCTGTACTACTCCTGGACGTCCCTCCCTGGGAATCAAGCCCACAACCTGGGCATGTGCCCTTGACCGGGAATCAAACCCAGGACACTTCAGGTCGAAGGCTGACACTCTATCTACTGAGCCAAACTGGCCAGGGCCAATTTGACTTTTTGAAAGGGTGGAAACGCCTTGAAGAATCTCAGCATTCACATCACAAAAATTACATGAATTCATATAATTCATGGGACTTAAAACTCACCTCACCATTCTTTCCACATTATTCCTGTAAATGCAGACTCTGACTAATAATGAAGCTTGTAGATAAACAGCATGTTTGTGTAAGAATCCTAGGAACTAATTTTACAAGATATGAACTCTGACCTTCCCAGTTCTGGGAGATTTGCTGGCCTTCAACTTTAGAACCAGGAGGACAAAGGCTAGGATGATGGACGCTCTACTGTCACCTGACCACTTACAAGATCCTAATCAGATTGACTGTGCCTGTAGGAACGTAGAGAACTTCTCAAGCCCCGCCCCCTGACCTCTTCACAGTGTTTGGCCTCTCCCTCCTTATAAAAGCCTCTGCCTGTACTGAGATGTGCAGATGAGTTTTGGGATGAACATCCTCCCTGTTCTCAGGTTCTTGGCACCTGAATAAACCTCTACTCTTCCTCACCACCACCTGTCTCACAGGACTGGTATAAAGGGGGTGAGTCAGGAGTACCTTGTATTTCTGGACACATTTTGGGTATATGGACTCCTGGGAATATGTGTATCATGGCCATTTTCTTTCTTCTGCAGGTGACAGGGGGAAGCAGAGACCGGTCACAGAAGAAAGGAGCGAAGAACGTTGCTTTGACTTAAGAGCAAGAAGAACAAGTAAGAAAAATGTGGATGGGAGGAGGAGGAGGTAGAATTGGGGATGGGGTCTGATCTGAGGGAAGAATTTGGACTTTGTGGACTGAAGTGAGTTTAGCAGCAAAACCATACAGCTCTTGCAAAGAGCGTGGCTGAGATTTGGGGAAAGGAGAGATCATTCTATAAGAGATGTTATGAGACCTCAGGAATCCTACATGCTCTTTCACCTCCACTTTGCTTCCTGTTTGCCTGATCAGCTATCCCAGGTGTCTGTCTCTCCCTGAATATTTTGGTCTTGCCTCTCTCACCACCACCTGAGAAGCAAGACGGCTTTTAAGAAACCCACCTGGACGCAGACGTTAGCTTGGTTCCTTTGCAAGCTGTTAAAGTAAAGCATATTATTTGCATATTATTTGCATGTGGTGGCTTGTTCTATGGTTTGTGGTTCCCTCTTAGATGATCAGCAAGAAGGTGGTGGTGTCAGGACAAAAAGAAGAGTTAAACCAGAAGTTGGTGTCATCAGGACGAAAAGAAAAGTTGAACCAACTACAAAGTTTTAATTTAAAAAAAAAGAGGAGAAAAGAAAAAAAAAGAAAAGTAAAGAAAAGAGGAAGAATGAACCCAGCTGGCATGACTCATTTGTTTAGCTTAAACCTACGAACGAGAAGATCACAGTTTGATTCCCAGTCATGTCACATACCCGGGTTACAGTCTTGATCCCCAGTAGGAGGTGTGCAGGATGCAACCAATCCGTGATTCTCTGTCATCATTGATCTTTTTTTCTCTTTCTCTCCCACTACCTTCCTCTCTGAAATCAGTAAAACTGTATGAAAAAAATGAAAAAATAGTCATGGCACAGTAAAGTAGAGCATTGAGTCAATGCAATCCTATATACTAAAAGGCTAATATGCAAATCGACCAAATGGCAGAAGAACTGGTTGCTATGACACACACTGAACACTGCAGGCAGATGCTCATGTCAGGAGCTCTCCACTGGTGGTCAGTGCACTCTTGCAGGGGGAGCACCGCTCAGCCAAAATCCAGGCTCATAGTTGCCGAGCACAGGGGTTGGTGGGAGCCTCCAGAGCAGCACTAAAGCGGGCCTAAGCTGTCATTTGGACAGCCCTCAAGGGGTCCCAGACTGCGAGTTGCCGCAGACCTGACTGAGGGACCCATCTCAAGTACATGAATTTTGTGCACTAAGCCTCTTGTAATATTAAAACTGTGTATAGTGTCAGATGGGTATGAGATTAATTGCATGATTTCTTAGTCCATTATATAATGTCTAATCATTGGGGTGTAACCCTGAAATGAACCTAAGGTTGTATGTCAACTCATAGAAAAAATGTTTTAAATATTCTATAGGACCGTGTTACCTTCACAGAGTCAAATTTTACTTTAAGTACGTTTTCTACATTTTGTTCTAGGACAGAGATCTAAAGCTCAAAAGAAAGAAGAGTTGAGATTTATAAATTTGCAAAATAAATGAAAGGCAACCACAAACACAACCATAAAAACAAGAAAGATAAAAGCTGAGGTTAAACGCGTTTGGAGACCCCATCCCTTGTATTTCGGTACCTGGACCAAAGTTGCGAGATGCTCTGAGAAGCTGTGGCTATTGCTCCTTGGACCATGGAGGTGTCATGGCTGAGCTTCCGCTGAATGTGCACCTCACCTCGCACCCCATCTTACTGAGGATCCATGGGCCCTCGGTGTACAAGGATGAGAAGCAGTGTACGTGGCTGCATCTCGTCATGGAGACAGGAGGTGTCCTGCAAGTACGGTTGTGCCAGGAAGTCATCCCCAGTGGGCATATCGCACTCATCAGCAGCCCCGAGATTTCGGGCACCATACCTTCGATGTGGTCGCTCCAGTTTGGCAGCCGGTACCAGGACTCCATGGGCCTGTTCTGGCGCATTGTGCACCACGTCAATGAGAATGGCATGGAGGAAATGATCCTTGAGCTGATGGACGACTCCTAGGACATCTGATGGGGTCCCTGGCTCTTGTCAACCTGATCCCCAGTCCTGCTGGCCTTCTGGTGGGACGTGTATATTTCTGTTCACCTTTTTTACTAAGCTCTGTTATTCTATCTGCCACCCCATGGTGTGAGGGCACATTGATGTCTCTCTCTGTCTCTGTTTCATCTTGTTGATTTTCTTCCTGTTTTTTTTTGTTGTTGTTGTTCTTCTTCTTCTTCTTTTTTCTTCTTCTTCTTCTTCTTCTTCTTCTTCTTCTTCTTCTTCTTCTTCTTCTTCTTCTTCTTCTTCTTCTTCGTCTTCTTCTTCTCCTTTCTCGCTCTCTCACTGTCTCTTTGTCTCTCTGTCTCTCTCCTTCTCTCTCAAATCAATAAAAGCATTTTGAGCCTAGCTGGTGTTTCTCAGTGGTTGAGGGACGACCTCTGAACCTGGATGTCACGGTTCGATTCCTGGTCAGGGCACAGACAAAAAATTAACCAATGAACCCTAGCTTGTTTGGCTCAGTTGATAGAGAGTTGGACTGTGGACTCCAGAAGATCCCATGTTTGATTCTGGTCAAGGGCACATGCTCTGGTTTTGGCCTCGATCCACAGTAGGGGGTATGCAAGAGGCACCCTATGTATGATTCTCTTTCATCATTGATTTTTCTCGCTCCCTTCCTGTATGAAACCAATCCTATATAATAAAAGCCTAATATGCTAAATGTCCAGTCGACTGGTCATCTGTTCAACCAATCAAAGCATAATATGCAAAATCCTGCACGGGTGGGGTCCCTTGGCCTAGCCTGTGCCCTCTCATAATCTGGGATACCTTGGAGGATGTCAGAAATCCCATTTCGGCCAATCCCTGCAGGCCAGTCTGAGGCACCACACTGGTGCACGAATTCGTGCACCAGCCTCTAGTAAAAATATTGGAAATAGAGAGAGAGAAAGAAAAAGACCTTAAGTGTGAAAATATTAGCCCAGGCCAGGAAGACAAGGCTCGAAGACATCACTGTAAATAGTTTTCATTTCAATGACCAGCGTTCTCAGTTTGATCACCTAAGGTTCGTCAACCAATACTACCCTCTCCAAAAAAAGAACGAATGTTTGGGGGATTATGGGTGTTTTATGCTGATCATCTCTTTCCATTGAGGAATTGTGTGAGAGGGGCTCATCAGTGATTCTCATCATGGATGTTTCTCTCCCTCTCGCTTTTCCTTCCTCTCTGAGTCAATAAAAACATTTAAAAAAATATTAAGCAAGTGTTGCATTCAGATTGAATGCACATTGTTTTAAAATAGTTTATTATTTTTGTTTGTTTGTTTAACATATCAGCTGGGTAGTCATTTAAAGATTACCTAGCGCCTGAGCCGGTTTGGCTCCGTGGATCTTACAATCGAACCAGAGATAGTCGGCAGGTGGAGAGCCCAAGGGGAGCCACAGAAATCAATTTCAGGGCATCCATGGTTGTGTTAAAGGGATCACTGACTGCTGATTAAATTCTCCTCTTGCAGGAAAGTGTGTGAAAATGCAAATTGACACCTGTAAGGCTGAGGTCCGGGGACTGTGAGGGATGTGTTTCTAAGGTGTGTTTCTCATATTCAAAATATTGCACTTCTGGCCTGGCCAGCGTGGCTCAGTTGCTGGGCATCAATGTATGAGGTCAGGGTTCGATTCCCGGTCAAGGGCACATGCCCAGGTTGCGGGCTCAATCGCCAGTAGGGGGCTTGTGGGAGGCAGCCGATCCGTGATTCTCTCTCATCATGGATGTTTCTCTCCCTCTCGCTTTTCCTTCCTCTCTGAGTCAATAAAAACATTTAAAAAAATATTAAGCAAGTGTTGCATTCAGATTGAATGCACATTGTTTTAAAATAGTTTATTATTTTTGTTTGTTTGTTTAACATATCAGCTGGGTAGTCATTTAAAGATTACCTAGCGCCTGAGCCGGTTTGGCTCCGTGGATAGAGTGTCCGCTTTTTTTTATAAATATATTTTTATTTGTTTCAGAGCGGAAGGGAGAGGGAGAGAGTTAGAGAAAGTGTGTGAAAATGCAAATTGACACCTGTAAGGCTGAGGTCCGGGGACTGTGAGGGATGTGTTTCTAAGGTGTGTTTCTCATATTCAAAATATTGCACTTCTGGCCTGGCCAGCGTGGCTCAGTTGCTGGGCATCAATGTATGGACCAGAAGGTCACGGTTCGATTCCCAGTAAAGGGCACATGCCCAGGGTGCGGGCTCGATCGCCAGTAGGGGGCGTGTGAGAGGCGGCTCATCAGTGATTCTCATCATGGATGTTTCTCTCCCTCTCGCTTTTCCTTCCTCTCTGAGTCAATAAAAACATTTAAAAAAATATTAAGCAAGTGTTGCATTCAGATTGAATGCACATTGTTTTAAAATAGTTTATTATTTTTGTTTGTTTGTTTAACATATCAGCTGGGTAGTCATTTAAAGATTACCTAGCGCCTGAGCCGGCCACATGGGCGATAATCACTCCTATAGGTTTGTGGGGGGGGGGGGTTATTTTTATTGATTTCAGAGAAGAGGGAGAGGAAGAGAGAGGTAGATACGTCAAGATGAGAGAGAATCATTGATCGGCTGCTACCTGCATGCCCCCTACTGGGGATTGAGCCCGCAACCAGGCATGTGCCCTTGACTGGAATTGAACCTGGGACCCTTCTGTTCGCAGGCTGACACTCTATCCACTGAGCCAAACCAACCAGGGCCAATTTGTCTTTTCAGAGGTCGCAAATGCCTTGAAGAAGAAGTAAGCATCTCATTATTCATGTCACAGTAATTACATGAATTCATGTAATTCATGGGAATTACAACTCACCTCACCATTTTATCCACATTGTTCCTGTAACTGCAGACTCAGGACTCTGACTAATAATGACACTTGTAGGTAAACAACCTGTTTGTATAAGAATCCTAGGAACAAATTTTATAAGTTATGAACTGTGACCTTCCCAGTTCTGGGAGATTTGCTGACCTTAAACTTCAGAACCAGGAGGACAAAGTCTAGGATGACGCACACTGGACCAACACCTGACCACATGCAAGATCCTTATCAGAATGGACTATGCCTCTCGGCACATAGAGAACTTATCAAGCCCTGCCCCCTGACCTCTTTGCTCTGTTTGGCCTCTCCCTCCTTATAAAAGCCTCTGCCTGCACTGAGATGTGCAGATGGGTTTTGGGACGAGCCTCCCCCATCTTCTCAGGTTACTGGCACCTGAATAAACCTCTTTCCTTCCTCACCACTACCTGTCTCACAGGACTGGTTTCTGGGTTGTGAGTCAGTAGTACCTTGTTTTTCTGGACACATTCCTGGTACATGGACTCCAGGGAATATGTTTATCATGGTCATGTTCTTTCTTCTGCAGGTGACAGTGGGAAGTAGAGACCGGTCACAGAGGAAAGGAGTGAAGAACGGTGTTTTACCTTCAGAGCAAGAAGAACAGGCAAGAAAAAGATGGATGGGAGGAGGAGGAGGAAGGATTGGGGATGAAGTCTGATCTGAGGGAGGAATTTGGACTTTGTGGACTGAAGTGAATTTAGCAGCAAAACCATACAGCTCTTGCCAGGAGCATGGCTGAGGTTTGGGGAAGGGAGTGAAAATTCTAAATGTGATGTTATGAGACCTCTGGAATCCGACTTGCTGTTTCACCTGTCACTTGCTTACTGTTTGCCTGATCAGCTATTCCAGGTATCTGTCTGTCTCTGAATATTTTGGTCTTGCCTCTCTCACCAGCACTTGAGAAGCACGACGGCTGTTAAGAAGCCCACCTGGACTCAGACGTTATCTTTGTTCCTTTGCCAGCTGTTAAAGGTTAAGCATATTATTTTCATGGGGTGGGTTGTTCTATGGTTTGTGAGTTCCCTCTGAGATGATCTGAAAGAAGGTGTTTTTTGTTTTTTTTTTTGTTTTTTTTTTTAGGACAAAAAGAAAAGTTGAACCAACTACAAAGTTTATTTAAGAAAAAAAAAATGAAAAGAATAGAAAATAAATGAAAAAAGCCGAACTGCTATGTCTCAGTTGTTCAGCTTAAACCTAGAAACCAGGAGATGTCAATTTGATTCCCAGTCAAGGCACATGCCCGGGTTACAGTCTTGCTCCCCACTAGGGGTCATTCAGGAGGAAACCAATCCTTGATACTCTGTCATCATTGATCCTTCTCTTTCTCTCCCTCTCCCTTTCTCTCTGAAATCAGTAAAACTATATAAAAAAAGAAAGAATAATCATGGCACAGTAAAGTAGAGCATTGAATCAATCCTTTATAATAAAAGGCTAATATGCAAACTGAAAAACGGCATAATGACTGGTCATTATGACACGCACTGACCACCGGGGGCAGATACTCATGGCAGGAGCTCTCCACTGTTGGTCAGTGCACTCCCAAAGGGAGAGCAACGCTCAGCCAAAAGCCAGGTTCACAGCTGCCGAGCACAGGGGGGTAGTGGGAGCCTCCGCGGCAGTACTAAAGCGGGACAAACCCTTCAGTTGGACATCCCTCAAGATTTCCCAGACTGGGAGAGGACGCAAGGTTTGCTGAAGGACCCGCTTGAGTGCATAAATTTTGTGCACTGAGCCTGTAGTATATTATAACTGTTTATGGTGTCAGATGGGAATGAGATTAATTGCATGATTTCTTAGTCCATTATATAATGTCTAATCATTGGGGTGTACCCCTGAAATGAACCTAAGGTTCTATGTCAACTGTCATTTAAAAAATGGTTTTAAAATTCTATAGGACCATGTTACCTTCATAGAATCATATTTTACATTAAGTAGGTTAGCACAGTTTGTTCTAGGAGAGACATCTAAAGCTAAAAAGAAAGAAAAGTTGAGATGTATAAATTTGCAAAGTAAACCAAAGGCAACCACAAATACAACCATAAAAACCGTAAAGATAAAAGCTGAGGTAAAATGCGTTTGAACACCCCATCCCCTTTATTTCGATACCAGGACCGAAGTAGCGAGAGGCTCTGAGAACTGTGGCTGTTACTGCTTGGACCACGGAGG